ATTAGCAATCCCTAAAATATCTGCAGTGAGGAAATCAATTTGACACGTTATCTGAAATAAAAAAACACGAAACATTAATGAAAACAAAGGAAAACAGATTATGTCATCAGAGTGAAAAGACCCTTAAAATCACAAAAACGATGGTTGAATTTCTCACTTTGGACCACCATCTGTTTATCTCTGTGGTTGAGGAAGTCTGGGTTTTTTGCCATCTATTGGAAATTTTGGATCCAGAGTATATCCTGCCACTTTAACACTACACCACACTGCCTTATCACAGATGTAGAGCAAAGCTTTTCAAAACACACAAGGTGATTTAGAACATAATGAGACTGCTGTTTGAATTACAACAGAGATTTGGAGTCTGTCCCATGTCACTGCTGAGCCTCGCTGCACACTGCACTGATTCCTCCACTTTTGAGTTCAAGCTCGCAGTATTACAAGCACATTGATTTTTGTGGCTCTGATACAGCTGAGCATGTGAGATGGGCTGAGCATGAGGGAGATGCTCAAGACATTAACACAGGGAATGTGGAAAAGAAAATGGATGCTATGAGGTTACGCAGTGTGGGCTGAACAATGTTAATGCACCAGCAGGCTGTTACAAACTCTGTGATCTATCTAATGTAAGTATAAGATCAGATTTGGGACTTCTTATCGCCAATACTCAATATCTAAAAAACTCAGACCAGGACCAAAAGAGCTGACTGGGATATTCCTGACAGCATGTTTTCATTTGTGGAAATCTGTTTATAAAAAATTGTACATTAAAGTTTTACAATGACCTACATCTAGAAAGTAATACGATTTATTCTATCTTTTAAGGATTCAATGAGAAGGTTGTTACCGCTGTTGTACCTGAACAAAACCTATGAATGCAGATTTACACTCAGCATAAACTCTATGATAGATGTTCTCCCAGTCAAACATAACCTTTATCGAAGATATCCACAACATCATTCATCCTACCTGGAATTAACTTTTTCATTTGTTTGTTTGGGGACATTCAGTTTTCATTTGTCAGAATGTATTTTGAATATTATAATTTACATTTTACAATGAGTTTTCATTTTGGGGGCTAGAACTCAAAAGTATGACTCAAAACAATTTAATGATAGATGTGTGAACTGTCCCTCCATTTGGATATCCAGAGCGTTCATTCAGATTGGTGGGTACTGGAAATGAAAATTTCAGATAGAAAGAAGGTGAAATGACCATTTTGATTTGGACTTATTGAAGATCTTTTTAAGATATTCAATAAAACTGTTAAATGTTGAAACATGCTGCTATACCGAGCCTGTTGTCTTATTAGCTTAATGTTTATGAAAGGAGGTAGAGGCCTGGTTCTGTTTGAAGACTGAATTCCCTCCTGCAGAACCTTTAAAACTCATTGACAAAAGCATTTTTCTCATTATTTCTTATTTATTTTTGAATGAGATTTCATCCAAAAACTGTCAAACTGTAACTGATAAACTGATAAATAATACACTCTGTAATTTCCCCATTAAAAGCCAAATTGTTGAAACAACTCTTAAGTATTTATAAGATTAATCAAACGAATATATCATGTTAATGAGTGAGCTCCAGGGCAGCTCGGGGGCTCATTTTGTTTGTTTGTTTTTTATCTGTTTCCACTTTAAATGCCCTGCTAAGTTTTTGGAAGTATCTTGATATTTATTGTAAAAACAACAGGGCTAGTTTTCTTATCAGAATCCAAAACAAAGCAAACGTTTCCTCTAAAAACTGAAATAATGTCTTAATGAAAATAACCTCCATCTCCCTCTCTCTCTTTCTTGTTTCTCTTTCGCTCTCTACCTCTATTATTCATCTCTTTTCCTGGTGTGCGAGAAGACTTAGAGAGACAACCCATCATGTTTTTTCATTTTCTCTGCCCCCTACACAGAGACATTAAACATTGAACTCACGACAGAACCTGCAGCGTGATCAGGGGAATCAGGGGAGTTTCGAAAACCATATGGTTAAAGGAAGCAGCATGTCAGGCGTGAATATCTGAACGCCCCCGCAGGATGCATCGCCAGGAGCTTTCCTGTGTTCTCTCTGCTGCAGGTGAGCCGCAGGTAGTACTGTAGCTGCGGGGAGGCTATCTCTGCTGCAGGGTGAGTGGGACAACAAACAGCACTTTCAACTGTAGAAAACAAACAGAAACCCTGCTTAAGTTTACAAAAAAAAGTAAGGGAATACAGGAGCAGAAGAAGATTTAGTTGAACAAAGTAAGTGGGAGTGAAATCCTTGATTCCCCCACACAGCCAAGTAGCTTCACATGTGAATAAATGTCACTGCTAATTTTTTTTTGCTCTGAGAGGGAGTCAGAGTTGTAGCCGTGTTGCCATGGTGACAAGTCCTGGACTGCATATTTTAAAATGTCCCGAGACATCAGGCCACAGGTGAGCGTATTCTCTAAAAAGGACCTGACAGGATGTTACAGCCTCAAGACGCAGATGAAACTTTAATCTTTGCCCTTTTAAGTTTCGCTTGAATGAACAGAATAATGAGCAGGACGACAAACGTCTTTGTTTTTGAGTAGTTGTGTGAAAGAGCCTAATTTTGATAACTGTTTCCTAGCTGTTCCTTCTGAAAGTGTTTGTAATCCATATCCGCCCGATGTCATCAGAGTTGTATTGTCACTGATGACCTCTCTGTTCTGATCCTGAGGTCTTTTCTGATGCTCTCCCGACCTTTGCTTTTCATGTATGCACATGAAACATGAGGAGGTGTGCTCTCCCCGCTGCAGACTTTAATATTTCATATCAGCACATAGAAAGAGCTCTCAGAATAAAGCCATACCATCGAATAAAACTGATGTAACAGGATCTGTTTGCATGGGGCTAGCCTCCCTCAAATCTACCTTCTCACCACAATAAACGTTAGGGCCAGTCAGCATCACCAACCCCGACTTGACGACAACGTCATATTCCAAGATGGCAGCACAGCACATCAACAGTAAAGAGTAACAGTAAAAGTTCTTGTAATGTGTTATTTATTGTTTTATTCTGTTTTGTTTTTGTGAAATTAAATAAGTGGTTTATGTTGTCCCACCCAACGTCTAACTGTGAACACAGTGCTGTGGTGTTCGTAAGAGTAAAATGCTGTGTAATGCGTTGTTTACAGCTGGTATCGCTCACAACAACTGACAATGGCTAACTACAGCTGACAATTGTAAACAACAGCTAACAACGGATAAATGGAGACGTCCATCTTTGTTTTTGGACTTGTTAACAGGAACACTGTCAACTCCAGTTTGATGTCATTCCCAGCTCCCACATCAGACTCCCCAGGTAACTGAAACGCAGCCATAGACTGTATAGAATGGACGCCGTCTGCCTCCTCGCTGGGTAAAGCCACCGCGAGAACAGCACCCTCTGGTGACGGGCTGCAGTACAGGTCATAAATCCCACCTCCTCCAGCAATCCCTCTGGAGATGTGGACAAACTTTAGAAATTAATATTGACATGTAGTTACTGTAAGACTGGTTTGTGCTCACGTCCTTTTTTTCTGTACAGGTCCATTTTTAAAAATTATTGGGGGGTTTATGTTTTCTATGGTTGACACTTGATACAGGCTATGGGAGTACGAAGATTGCGTAGCTCACCCGGGGGATGCAGTGTTTGAGCCGAGCGTCATCAAAGCGACTCTCCCGCCGAATACGAACACTGCTACTGATCAAGTGGTGGTTCCAGGAAGTGGAAAAAATCACGGAAATACAAAGAGCAATGTGGCTTAAAATTCGTATAATGATAGAAGGCGGAGCCAAGTTGTTCATAGTATATACAGTCTATGGGTGTCATGAACATGCCTCAAAACTGTGCTTCAGAAACCTGTGAGAGATGTTAGTAATGTGACCCCCTTCATGTCTGACACAGTCTGCGGTTTAATGAGAATCAGAACTTCCCTCTCACTGAATCAGTGCAGTTTTATTCTTCATTAACAGCCTGTTTGAGGCTCATTCACCAGTTGATTCAACAGTGCATCTTTTCCCTCTTCTTATCCTCACAATGAGACTCACTGACTGTCACTTTTTACAGTAAGCTGTATGAGATTTCATATTTCAGCTCTCTAAAAGTTCGCCTCGGGACTCATTGCCTTACCATACTTCACTTGAATTACTCCAACCAGTAACAGGTTACAGGATGAATAAATGGTGGCATTTTATCCATTACAATTAAACTGTTTTCTGACAGTGATGGATGAGGCTCTGTGGAGAAGCCCATAAATCAGATTAAACTGTGAAAATGTGTATTGACTCTATTAATCCTGTTATGATGCAGGCATCGTCTGCCACTGAATCAATCACTGACAATAATCATGATTTACTTTGTTAAAATAAAGCTGAGTCAAACCTTCAGAATATATTATCCTTGATAAAGAAAATCTCTGAGACCACAGATTGTGTCCTCAACTGTTTTTCCTGAATCAGCAACTAACTGTGGGCTTTTAATAGAGATTTAGATGATACACATGCATCATTTATCTATATATATATGTCACAAAAAACAGCCACCATGACTTTAAAATTACACAATAACCATAATCACTGTTTTTTGGTGGTTCTTCTCACCAGTTTGTGTCATTTCTACCTATTTATTTATTTATTTAACCAAGTTGAAATTTAATCAAGAAATGGTGAAGGGTTTACTGCTAATCTAGACAAGTATCTGCCAGCTCGACTTGATCTACATTTACTGTTCCTCTGGAGCAGATCGATCAACTCTGAACTTACACTGAAAAGTTATTTTTCTTCATTTGAAAAGTTTGACATTTTTAACATGGAAAACATACAGTTATATATATATATATATATATATATATATATATATATATATATATATATATAATATATATAGGTGAGATGCCTCTTATTGAAATAGGTTGAGCTATAGCCACAGGTCAGTTACTTCAGCTGAGCACAAAGAAGAAACACAGAGGTAAACTCTAGCTCCATCCAAAGGCATTCAGATCCTCTCTATAGGATATCTCAGACACACTGGTTGTATACCTCCTTTTGTGATCCAAACAAAAAGCTTTTTCTTTCTTTATTTTCTTACATATCTGAACAGAAGAAAAAAAGCTTTACATAACACATCTGAATAGACCACACAAGTACACCCCTGCCACACTCATAATCTGCCTTGTCACGGCTCACTGACAATACAAACCCTTGATACAATGACCTCAGAGTTTTTTATCCTCTCGTCTGATGAGTAGGAGGTCCATGAACTCCAATTCTATACAAACTCCAACAATGTCTAATCACTGCAATCTGGATTTAGTCTCTGCCTCTCCTCTTCTCTCCCCTCCTGCAGCGGTGCTGAGAGAGACATCTTGTGAGCATTGAAGCAAAACTCTATTTCTATTCTTGTCCTCCTGCGCGCAGAGATGCATTTGAAACGGGATTCTCAGGAACAGACGAATTGATCATGAAGGCTTCCACGGCTGAAGATTTCCCCGGTTCTGCTCTCCTATTTTTGTAACATTTCAGTCTGCGTAAGTAAACACAAAGTGCAATACACAGCACAAGTATAAAGGATTTGTGGTTTAATGTGGATTATACACATCAGAGTTGTCATGTTATTTGTGTTCTTGGATTCAGGTGAGGCTAAATACATGTGACAAGCTCACCTTCAAACATGCTGTTCTGAAACGCAGGTACGTCTGAGGTGACGTGATGGCTTCTCTTCTCCTGTCACACATAATCTGTCAGTCAGTCTGTCAGTCTCTTCCTCTGTCTCTGGGAATAAGTGACTGTGGTGCAAAATAATAAAGAACATTACTGGGTTGCTGAAATTAAGTTTGAATTTTTGGTACTTTGTTTTGCTTCTTTGTACGTCCCTGTACGTATGTCTCTACTCCGACATATTTCAAATGGAAATATTTCTCTCACTGTGTCAGGAGATGCACATGTCAGCCATAGTTACTCCAAAAAACATTCAAATTTTTAAGAACAGGCTCAAGACCCACCTTTTTAAGAATAAGAATAAGAGGAACTTTATTAATCCATGAAGGGAAATTCAATTGTCTGTCGTCTCATTTGTCATGTCTCTAAAAGTCATCTACTATTTACAGAAGAGTTGTACAGTCTGATGTACAAAAGATCTTCTGAATCTTTCTGACCTACAGCAAAGAGAGAGGAGCCGTCCACCACCTTTGCCCCTTTGGTCCATAGTCTCCACCTTCCTCAGTGTAGATCTCTCCACCACAACCTCCACTGAGTCCAGCTTGAATCCAACCACAGAGCCAGCCTTTTTCACCAGTTTGTTCAGACGTCTTGCATCTTTGTGTTTGATGCTTCCTCCCCAGCAGACTGCAGCGTAGAACATAACACTGTAGACACCACAGACTGAAAAAACCTCTGCAGCATCTTACTATAGATGTCTATTGATCGGAGTCTCCTCAGGCAAGAGAGGCGGCTCTGTCCCTTTCCGTAGATGAAGTCTATATTCTTGGACCAGTCCAACTTTAGCAGTCCATGTATTATCCATCCATTCAATTATTCCATTCATCTAGTAAACGAAAAACGAAAAAAACGAGTCAATATTTTGTTTATTTGTTTTTCTGTATAACCAAAAATATATTAAGTATTGAGTATTCAGCGTATTGAGTGCCAAAATTTTAAGTTGTAACAGAACTCTGGTTGTAATTTTTTTCTACAGTCATATCTTCCTCCTACTTCGGTGTGACCCTCCTGGCGGCTTTGAATAATACGTAGGATGCGTCCATCTCCATGACAGCAGGTTAGCCTTTCTCTACCTCTGCTCTGGCCTGGAGTTTTTGGTCCATGCTGTTGGCTACTTTGTTGCGCAGAGTAGATTTTGTTATCACTTATGGAAAACCTTCCATGACAAGTCATAGAGTACGAAAGGAGGAGGTCAAGAAGTTGTCAGCTCCTTTACTAGAAGGAAATGACACAACGTGACGTGATTTATGACTGAGTCCTGTCAGAAAGCCATACATCATTGGTTGTTAATCAAAGATGACAAAAACTTAGATGACTCTCTGCTGCTTCAAAACATTGTCAAACTACATTTTTATCAGCCTCTTGTTTGCGCTCTTGCGCTCCCTTGGGGTGCTGGATGGCCTGTAATGTGCAGCCTGTATTAAAGATGTTTAGTCTGATTATGTTCTGAATTTCTACAGTGAATTTAAGACAACAGAACACACTGCTGATTTTCCATGCATACATAAATTTAAAAAAAACTACTTCAGTACCTCAGATGAAGAAAGATCATCTGCATCTTTCTCTCACCATGCTTCTGTCTAATTTCTCATCAGGCTGTGTCACTACATGTAGTAGCCAACCCTTAATTTTAGGAGTTGTGACTCAAATTGGACCCAAGTTCTGATTACTTGGACTTGTACTCAAACTTAAGCATTGACTGCACTTAGACGATAGAAAGGAGGACTCAGGTTTATTGATTGGTAAAGACTGTTTTTATGTTTGTGTTACATTTTTATTCAGTTTAGAGTGAGATCTGGCACATGATGGACCAAAGAGCCAATGGTGGTGGACGGCTCCTCTCTCTTTGCTGCAGGACAGAACGGTTGAGAAGATCTTTTGTACCCACAGCTATCAGACTTTACAATTCCTCCATAAATAGTAGATGACTTTTTGAGACATGACAAGTGAGACTAAAGACAGTTGAATTTCCCTTCAGGGAGGAAATAAAGTAATTCTTATGGTGTCATGTGCGGCTACAGTTCCTATAATGTAAATCATGTCTGGAAGTTTCAAGGATTTTACAATAACAGCGAACAAAAACAATTCAGCATGTGAGATGTGTCACTGTAAACAAGCCGACAGAATATCAGTTTGGTTGCAGGTGTTTTTGAGCTTATTAGACACCTTCAGAGATCCCATCACAGCAGGAAGAAGAGTCAGTAGTTTGGAATGAAACAGCTGTCTTCACTGTTCATATGGTAAATAATCCAAACAATGAGTACTCGACTCAGAATCTCTCAGATTTGACTTGGACTGACTTGGACTCTACTCACACCTGAATACTGAGGACGCAAGACTCGAAACTGGCCTGAGCTTTGGTTGCTGGACTACAACACTGGAAGCTTCAGTGTACAGGGTGACTCTGGAGAGTGATGAAAACAAGCTGTGCCTCTTCCATCACACGTCAGACACAGACGGGAGAGTACAGCAGTTATTGATGCCGAAACAGACGAGTGAATGTCATGTCGCACCTGCAGAAGAAAAAGAAAAAAAAAACACAAGTATGATAACGCAGTGAACCATGATTGTTTTCTAGGTGCTATCATGAATTGCCGAGAGAAACAGTAAAATGGAGAGGACTGGAATGGAAACTGGCAGGTGGTAAAATATCATGTTAGGTCGGTACAGCCCCGGGTTCAGTTCTCTTATGTACTAGAGTGAACGAGCCTAGTTGAAACACCTGATACTTCTCAGAAATAGCTAATGAAAGTGAGCACGAGCAAAGCCTTTGTAACTCTGCATGTGAACTGTATAGTATTTGCTAAATTGATGTTGAAGAGACGGTTAAATTTGCACTACTTTAGGGAACAAAGTCAATGTTAAATGATACCCCTGGGCAGTGGTTTGACTCTTGATATCTGACACAGAAAAAAAAGGAAATGTACCAGAAGGCAACCAGGTGAATATCATGAGACAATTCTGAATGGCAAGATAAATACATAGCAATAGATTGGATGTGAGAATTAGCTCGACTAATGGTGGCGCAATCCTTGACTCCTCTTTTCATATCATTTTCATGTCATCCTGTGTTTGATGTGTGAAGCTCTGAATGCAGAATTAATAATTTCTGGCAAACAGCATCTGTCAGGCAGATGGAGACCATCGATCTAATGGTGTTTGCTTTAGAAGCAGCGAAGCTTATTTCTATAGCCACCTGGCTCTGAACTTATCAAGGGTACACACGGCACAATAAACGTTAATCCACCGTATATCACAGGGAAAAACCCATCAATAGCTCTTTGCCGAATGTCCTTACATAACTCATTCAGAAGCCCCCGGAAAAACAGATTGTCTGCCATATTGAAACTCACTAACAAAGGTCTAACAATTTACTGATATCCACTCTGTGAACTGTCTGGTATAACTTTGTGCAAAGTTATCACAGAACAGCAACCCCTGAACAGCTGTCCATGGATTATACACTCTTGAAAAAACTCCATTTCTGTTTCAAAGGCACCAATAAACAAAGGTTATATTTGTTTGTTTGGAGAGGTTTGGAAGAAAGACTGCTCCCTTTAACGCTGACACATGCAAATGCGCAAACATATTTTCCTTTAGGAGTTGTGGTGTGATTTATTCAGTCAAGTAAGTTAGAGAAAACATTTGCTGTCTAGTTGAAATATAGATTGGAAGATTGACATGTCTATTTTGTTTGTTGACCAAAAGTAAAGGAAAAAACACTTAAAGCTCCCCCTGCTGGCTGGTTTCAGTATAGGTCGTTAAGCACACCTCCTCCACGTTAACAGATTGGACACTGGCCCTACAGTAGCAAATACATGTAAAATAAAATTTCCTCTCATATGCTCTCTGGCATTGTGGTTAGTTCTTCTTGTGTGTGTTTTTTTTAACTTTTAAACAGTTATATGACAAAAAAAAGCTACAACAGCATGATTGCTGTACACGTATATAAGTTTCTTTACCCTTTAATTTCTCTTTTGTATTGTACCTGTGCTGCTGTAAGTTTTGGGATTTCCCCCGGTGAGACTAATATGAGACTGATATCTTATCTCCTAACATGTATTTAAACAAATGCCACTTTTGTTGTATCCCGTGCACGGGATGTATACAGGAGAAAAAAAGGGAACCAACACCTACACAAGAGTCTTTTGGCTTCCCATTATGGTGAGTGTCTGCATTAAATTCATGTATCTGCCAGTCTGTGGGACCTGTGCTGTGTTGCCAGTTACTTAAACGTGTTGCGGAGGGAAAGAGATACCAGCCAGTTTCCAATAAACAGACTCCAACCTGAACTTATGTTACTGGCATAGGTTTACAGTGCCCATCCAAGAATGTATTTTGGCATCACTACGGTTTATCTAAAAGAGATGGGGAGGCATCTATCTGTATCTACAGGAAACAGTTATTTCCTATAGTTTCCACTGATTGCACAGCAGCTATTCAGAGCCTGTGAATAGCCTAATACGTATTAAACTAAGCTAAACTAATATCCATCCAGCTGTGGTTCTGTATTCAACATACTGACCTTAGAGTGAAATTGATTTTTCTCTCCTAACTTTCAGCTAGAAAGCTAATAAGCTAATTCCCCAAATGTCAAACTTTTTCTTTGAAAGGTCAAGGTCTTTGCCTGGACACAACAACAGCTAAGGGGAATCAACAAACAACATAAAGGTTTCCAGAGGAGTGAACCAGAGACTCACAGGTGACAGCTGATGGGTCTATAAGTCAATGACGGCATCAACACAGGATCCATTAACGTAGCTGCGGAGGTAAGTGTAGGAATGGTTCCTCTGTGGGGGGCTCAGAGTCATCAGGAGGTCAGAGGAGGTCAGTCAGTGGTTAGATGCTCTGCCATGGTTTGTGCTAATTGGAAAGTAAATGAAGATAAATCCAAATGATGATGAGACAAGCTTTTCTGAAACTTAAAGGGGTATTCCGGCGTAAATTTAAGTTATGGTCAAACACACAGTAACACCCAGTTCGACACCCCCTTGAGGGATGAATGTTGCAGACTGCTTGCTTGTCGAAGTCTATCACCGAGTGCAGCAGAAAATGTATGATTATTTCTTCATGGAAATGCAATCAGAAGAACTACTGTGTCTGCAGTGGGTATACAAGATACACAAGAACTCTGATTGCATTTCTATGAAGTAATTATCATAAATGTTCTTCATTGAGCTGCGAAACTCTGCTGAACTCAGTGATCGACTCATCGGGGCTCCCCCCACAAACAAGTGGCTGCTGGAGGAGAGTAGGTGAGTTGTGTTTAGTCTCTTTGCTACAGAAATTAGGCAAAGCTAAAAAGATGTTTGATGGCTTGTACTATGGCTGGGACCCGATAAGTACTGTTGATGAAGTTAGGTGCTGTTCTGAGCATTATTTGTGGCGATAGAGTGGCTTTAAGGTTGACCGCTGTGTATTGCTATCATGCGGTCATTACTGAAGTTGGTATAACTAGAGAAGCAAGCAGTCGCCAACATTCATCTCTCGAGGGGGTGTCAAACTCGGTGTTATGGTGTGTTTGACCATAACTTAAATTTACACCAGAGTATCCCTTTAAAGTGAAGTCATTGTTACACAGGGGGCCCTAAAGGGGGTTTACTCAGAGCTCATCTTGTCTGAAGGTTAGATCACATGCTGTCCAAAGCCGTGTGCGACAGCTTCTATTTTAATGTATTTTTCAAACCAATCGAACTTTAGCGACTTACTCCAGTTGTATTAGCAGCACAACTACAGGAGGTTGTTTTATGTTCTCCAGGAGAGGACACTCCAATGACTTAATAAAGGATTTAGAAACTGTCATTTGTTATTCCTGTTTCATAACCAGAAGCCTAATTTCTTTTTTGAAGTGGTGGTTCTCTCTCATATCCACCACTAAAATGTGCCTTTGAGCTCTCCTTCATTTGCAGAGCACAGTCCCAGGCACTAATTTAGTAATTAGCTTCCTTTTTTTCAAGCAGACACTACATAATCACTAACAGCAGCCAGAAACTGAACACAAGCCTTTCAAGTCCATAAATCCATCCTTAAACGTTTGTTTTTGTTGACCACGGACAAAATTAATTTTATTTTTAGATCCTTTTTGCCACTTAGTTCAACTTTAATTTGGCAGTGTGTAAACACAAACCTAAAAGTTCTTGGCGTAAGATTTGATTAAATACAATACACCAGGATGCATTTTGCTAGTAATTACAATGGAGAATGCAAAAAAAAAAAAATGTTTTGCAAACTACCAGGTACGAAGTAAGTGCCAAACACAGTTTGATCATTACCCTGAAAGCAGATTTTGACACTCCAGCCAACTCTCTGGCCTCATTTATAAGCAGTGCAAGAGAGCCGTTTGGGAGAACTCAGCAGAAGCGAAAAAACAAAGGAGTGGGCAGTTCGTTAACAATCCCATCTTTAATATGCTCCACACTCTGCCATCCTCAATCAAAACAAATGACCTGAGGGCCGATAGACGCAGGGGTGAGCAACTCTGATCTTGTTTTCCTGAAAGGAAAGATGTGACAGATTTTTAGATGCTGCCACTGTTTGAAATGCTAATAAACTCTGTCAGTGGGAAAAAAACATGGGGGGAGAGCACCGATAAACACCCACAAGCATATGTACAGACAGGGGAAAAAACAGAAACAAACACATGCAAATACACAGGCACAATGCTCACAGGTAGATTATTTGTTACATGATGAATGATCTGTATTTTGAGCCTGCAGTGACTTCAGAAAAGCAGGGCTGTGCTTCATCTTCTCTACTCTCCCGTGCAAGAAACACAGCAGCTCACAGCACTCTTTGACTTACAGGAAAGGTTGCTCATTTGCTGGATATTTGGCACAGTTTGAGAGGTCAACCAGGGTCATGAGCGAGGGCACGAACTATGTGATTGATAGCTGAGGTGTGTGACAGTTTTGCAACTTAAGTACCGTGTGCCCGGGTATCAGGCCTTGGTAGAGAAGAAAGAGCCCGACCACAAATCAAAACCTTTGATTTACTGACTGATCCTCGTTACAACCATCAGCCATACAAGCACCTCAAATGAGATATCTGTGAAAGGGGGCTCCTCATACTCTGCCTGACAGGATGAGGAATTTGCAATTTCAGGGGACCTTGGCATCCAGCCACTGCTGCTCCACACGGAGATAAGCCGGCTGAGGAGGTCTGAGCCCCAGATGGGAACAGCCCCTGTTGGAGAGCAGGGCAGATTTAGTCTGTGCATTATAGGGATCACTATACCTGCCTGTTCTCCTCTAAAACTGAGCCCTGACCTGGATACATGACTATAAAGTAAAAAAAAAAAGAGTCACTTTATCACGCCTGTCAAGGATCTGCACAAAACAAAAATAGCCCAGTTGAGTCCCTTGTCAGTTGCACCAACAAAGAGGAGCAGAGATTTTTTACAGCAATGAAAACACACACAGATTTTCTCATTTAAACTCCAAAAATCAAACTCAGAAAAGTAATCTTATTAAGTTTGCACCAACAAAAGGGATTCTATCTATTCTAATGACTGCTGGGGTTGTTTGCTTTTGTTGTAGACCTTTTCAAAAATGTTAATCAGCCTGGAAGCTCTCAGTTCATTTTCTATTTAAAGGGATGTTATCAAAATACCTCTTGATTGCATGACCAATCAGAGCGTCTAATCAGGCAGAGTACTAAGCAATATGAACAATACACAACACCATTAAAATAAGCTGCAATGAAGTAGAGTCGATTTGTCTTAATTTCAAAGAGCAAGGTGTGGTCTGGTAGAAATGCAGCAGCAGATTGAGGACAGATTACACTATCACCATCTTGCGTTGACTGATATTTTTGGTATAAATTACAGGCTTAGATTACCTTGATACAATTGTTTCACTGAATTTCTCTGTTAATTATGTTCCATTTTGTGTTAAATGTGATGATATGTTTAATATCTCTAAATTCTTCTCAACAGAAAGGATATAAATGGAAGAAAAGCTGTGGCTGTCACCTGGACCTGCTCGTGGTGGGGGTGAGTCTGGACGTGTGCTCCATCATAAACCTGCTGTACTTCAGAGCTGCTACATGATCTTCATCCTGATGGGCTGCTCTGTCTTTGTGCCTACAAAGGTAGCCACCTGCCTATCATCAATCAAAAGTCATCATACCAGAGTCACACAGTCCTGATGAAGCACAACTGCGGGGTTATTGAGCGGTTGTTGTGAACACAAAATGATTAATTCTGTTGAGAGCTTGAAACCTAGATATTCAGGGTCTTCATGCCACTCCTTAGCTTTTGTAGACATGTCACCTTTAATATCCGCTTGGTCCTATCGTCCAAAAGCAACAGGCTCACAGGTCAAGCAGGCTCTTTGTGGATTATTAACAATGCATCGATGAATTGTAAATTGCGGTCAAGCAGCAAGTGTAAGAGCTACAAATACATGAATATTTGATAAACACTTTGACCTGCTTAATTGCCAGAGCTGCAGCACTGCCCAGGGCATCACTGATTGCTGCAGGGTGATTGGATCCCATGCTACGTATGTTGATTATGCATCAGGGCCGCCTCCCTACATCCTCCCTTGCAGATGAAAATGTGTTGCTTCGTTTCACTGCAAAAAATAAGGATATTTAACATAGTTTTAAAATGTACAGATCTGTATTATCAACCCATCTTCACATGTGAGGGTTGGTAGCGAGAACTCCTATGTTTGAATCTTTGTTGAAGTGTTTTGTGCAGAAACATGATTGACCAAATATTTTATCCCCTATCTTGAAAGTTAGAGATCAATAATCTGTTTTAGTTTTCCTGCAATGACTTTCCTGGTTAGAAATTGTCTTGAATGTGGCAAAAGATTCACTTTAAGGCAAAGTTTTACTCCTTAGAAAAACAGTTAGATAAGGATTTTCAGTTAGAAGAAATGAGCCTCTCTGCAAAAACAACTAGAATCGCTGCTTTACACTGACATGCCTAATCTTACTATGGTAATTCTGGGGTAAATGAAACTGGCAAAAATCATCTGAATTTAATTCTCATGAAAACGACACCACGTTTCTGCTTCTGGTGAGAAATTATTGGTTATTTTTCACTCTTCTCGCCAGTATCCTGCAGATGAACATCTGTTTTTGACATTTATATTAGATTCTTAATTTAAACTGGGGAGGATCATTAGAGATTTAATGGAGCACAACAGACTCAGGCAGTCTTGGGAGCCCCTAATCGAAGGAGGCTGATTCAGTCACAACAGCCAAACGAGTGGGAGGTGCTGAAGCAGCTTTTGACCCAGCTCCACACAGTTCCTATAGTATATAGGCCACGGGGAAGCAAGAGCGAAGAATAAAAGTGGAAATAAAACAGACTACATTTATTGAAGCTTAACCCTTCTGCACAAACTATAAATCCCTTCAAAGGGACAGTACCATGTTTCTGATGGTTTGCTTTATGACTCTTAATTGTTTGAATTTAAGCATTAATGTTGAGCAATGTTGTACCTTTATGGGTTTCCTATCCTGAATATGTTTGGTAAACAAGAATAAATGGTGCCAGTTCCAGCCAATTCCCTTTAGACCAGTGGAAATAGATACAAAGCTCAGTTAAAAGGTCATATGAAGGTTAATCTTGAAACTCATCAGCAATCATGGGATATCATTAACTAACAGCAGTATCTGTCCCTGGAAACCGACACCATCCTCTCAGTAATTACAATGTGGCCAATAGTTGGCTTTATTGACTTCCTGCTAAGTCATCCTCTTCTCTTACACTTCATTGTTTACAATCCAGCTAACATCTTGAAGGACAACCTTCCCTCTCCTCTCCATGGTATGTCTGCCACATCGACACCTTCCTTTCTTTCTTGGATTTCTTGG